CTGCTCCTGCTCTCTGAAGATGCCTGTCACAGATGCTGGCGAAACGTTAGGAAACAAAACTTCCAGAACAGGGCCACACAGCCTGGAAGACCCACACCAGCCATCGTATTCCGGCTGTGAAAGCCTTCGACAATACATCCACACACATTCCTTTTAAGAACTTCCCTCTCTGCAGAAAAGGGCTCCCCAAACTTACACTTATCTTTCCTTTTTATTGTAGCACACGCACTTCTCCACTGCATTTGATCCCCAGGGAACAAGACTGCCCACCCCATTAATCAAGCTCCATGGTGAGGTCTCCTCTGATACCCTAAGCGCTGCCCCACATTTACTCTCATTTACATGAAATAGCACAGGAAGCAATTTCTTATTTATCTATTTATCATATTTTATATTGTCTCTTAATACAAAAATACTACAGCATTTTATAAAATCCTAAAAACATTTCAGAGTAACAACCAAGCAAAAACTAAGGAAAACACCAGAAGAAAAACTAGAAGAAAAACAAAGTAAAAGACAATCTTTTAAAAGACAACTGTTATGGGGAGGTAATAAGCTGGACAGGATCCGTCCAACCATCATTACTTTTATAACTTGCCCTTCTAATTTAGGCATTTATGGTTTCTTACCTCCCACTTTATTGTATCTTGAAAGAAGAGAGGGACACTGCTTTTTGGGGAGGGTGGAGGAGAAAACCACATGCTTACAGAGATGCTGTAATGTTTGTCCATTCCATGTCTTTTTCTTTTTTTTGGAGAAAGGCTTCTTGCTTTGAGAAGTTCTTTGTATGCTATTCCTTATTTTGATGTTTATCATAAGTAGCTGAGTAGGAAGAGTTTATTTGTATCTTTGGAACACAAGGCAAAGGTAAAAAGAATTATAGAAATCAAAATATGACAAACTGCTTACATGAAGCAACACTTAATGTGATTTCAAGACTTTACTTTTGGGTGGGTGGGAAATTATGCACCCCCAAATTTAATTGGTGGCAAAGAAACAATTATTATTATCTCAGGGCAGGTCTCTACTGTTTCCAAATGAACTGTGCAATGTCTAAGTTGAAAATGGCAGGAAATTTAGTTGGCTAACTTATTTCAAGTAAGATAATTCCAATGGAAAAAGAAAAAAGAATGGGAAACTAATGGGCAAATAATCACATGTCCAAACTCTCTCAGAACATATTTTGTCTATAAAGAAGTAAGTACATCTAACAGGTCAAGCCCAGGACAATAGATCGGCATGAGTGAACAGTGTCTCTAATATCCTCTGGAAATTATTTTGAAATGTTTGAAGAAACTGATGCCACAAGTGAATCTCGTTAACAGGCACAAAATGGAAATGAGTATGTTAATAAATGCAAAGCAATAGACCCAGATAACAACAATAGCTGGGTTTTGTGGCTTGACCTTAAAACAGGGTTTGCTTGGATGGACTTCAAAGATGTAGATGGGGAGTAAATTTAATAATACACAGTTTCCTTATGTGGTCTACATACAATGTTTCTTATGTACTCTTTTGAATACTATTCTAAAATATACATTTTTCTATACAATTTACCTTAGTTTGCTGAGGATGAAATTCTATATTCAATTCCTGCACTTGGAGCTCTCATTGAATGTGGATTGGAAAAGCATTAACTGATCCAGTTTCTTTCTGATGTATAGATTTCTATCTTCACATTGTTTTTTCTTCTATATGCCATCTTTCTACTTCCATTTATACATAGCACAAATATTATGTTTAAAGATGGAGGACGGTTTCATTTGTCCCTCTTTTAAGGAAACTAAGATAATTTGCATTTGTGGACTGATTTACAGAGAATCTTGTGGACTGTGTACTTCCGCAACATTTTGTACCATCTCAAAAATTGCATAGAAAAATCTATGGTTGCAAATGCCTCCACTGATTTTCCCATGGGAGGTCAGGAGTTTTTTGTTTTAATTTTAATGCTAATTTTTTGTGTATTTCTTCCTTCAAAATGACAGGCAATTGTACTATCAATTTTCAGCAACTTCAGTCAAGGCAATGCAAAAAGGAGGCTCAAAGGCCACCTGTGGCATTGGGACCACTGTTGTCACCAAAAGGGGACTGAAAAAGAGCCAAAGTTCAGATACAATTTCTTAAATAAGCTGTTTGCTTAGAGATCCATACCCAAAGAACTGGCTATGGAAAGTTCTTATTCAAGAGCTTCACTGAGTGTCTTCTAATTATTTTTAATAAGTAGACCTTAAATGGTATATCATCTGCCATTTGAAGCTTGTGTAATTGTAGTTCTCAAACCATCTAAATCTCTTCCATGCTATTACGATGAAAGGAGTCATGTGGCACAGGCCTTTTTTTAGTTA